CCACCACACTTTTAACTTAAACTAGAAAAATTAGCTATAACATTGCATTTAATTAGAGTGACTAAATAATTGCAATAATAACTAAAACCGCAATTAGATTTAATTATGACGAAAGAGAATATAAAACCGCTATTGATCATAACTCCCCTCTTTACTAAGATCTTCAAGACTGCTGATTAAACAAAATAACATGATTGTTGGCTTGATTGCCTGGCAGACTGTCTAACTGACTGAATGATTGGCTGGCGAGCTAGCTGAGTGATTGCTAGATTGTACCAGAGTACTATTTAATCTATAAATATTCTAGAATTAAAATGATACCTTTTTCTTTAAACGTGACTGTAATTTCTCAAGCATAAAATGTGCATAATCAATTGGGGAGATAAAACTGAATAGAAAACACTGCACGAGTAAGACTCTGGCAGTTTTATTTGGGAGTAAAAGAACCAACTAAGTTGATTTAGAAAATGATAAGTCTCTTCTTGGGGAAAACACCTTCTATATAGAAAAGCGTCTTCTTGGAGCAGAAGCTTTTCATATAGAAAAGTGTCTTCTTGGGGAATACAATTTTCATATAAAAAAGTGTCTTCTTTGGGAAGATAGTTTTCACATAGAAAAGTGTCTTCTTGGGGAACACAGTTTTCACATAAAAAAGTGTCTTCTTGGGGAAGATAGTTTTCATATAGAAAAGAGTCTTCTTAAAGAAGATAGTTTTCATATAGTTTTCGTATAGCAAAGTGTCCTCATGGGGAAGACAGTTTTCGTATAGAAGTGTCTTCTTGGGAAAGACAGTTTTCGTAGAGAAGTGTCTTCTTGGTGAATACTGTTTTTGTATAGAAGTGTTTTCTTGGGGAAGACAGTTTTCGTATAGAAATGTCATCTTCAGGAAGACAGTTTTTATATAGAAATATGTCTTCTTGGGGAAGACAGATTTCGTATAGAAAAGTGTCTTTTTGGGGAAGACAGATTTTGGTATAGAAAAGTATATTTTTGGGGAAGACAGATTTTGTATAGAAAAGAGTCTTCTTGGGGAAGATAGTTTTCATATAGAAAAGTGTCTTCTTGGTGAAGACAGTTTTCATATAGAAAAGTGTCTTCTTGGGGAAGACAGTTTTCATATAAAAAAGTGACTTCTTGGGGAAGACAGTTTTCATATAGAAAAGTGTCTTTTTGTGGAAGGCAGTTGTCATATAGAAAACAGTCTTTTTGGGGAAAACAGTTTTCATATAGAAAAGTGTCTTCTTGGGGAAGACAGTTTTCTTATAGAAATATGTCTTCTTGGGGAAGAGAATTTTTATATAGAAAAGTGTCTTCTTGGGGAAGACAGTTTTCGTCTAGAAAAGTGTTTTCTTGGGGAAGACAGTTTTCATATAGAAAAGTGTATTCTTGGGGAAGACAGTTTTCATATAGAAAAGTGTCTTTTTGTGGAAGACAGTTGTCATATAGAAAACAGTCTTCTTGGGGAAGACAGTTTTCTTATAGAAAAGTTTCTTCTTAAGGAAGATAGTTTTCATATAGAAAAGTGTCTTCTTGAGGAAGATAGTTTTCATATAGAAAAGTTTCTTCTAAGGGAAGATAGTTTTCATATAGAAAAGTGTCTTCTTGGCTAAGACAGTTTTAGTATGTTTATAGTTGGTGCCATTATGTTTTATATTAAAAAGCAAATATTTCAATTCTATATCGGAAATAGGAATAAATTTAAGAAAAATATGGAGGGAAACAGAAATAACTAGACAATCATGAAAATAAAACGGCGCATAAAACTAATCGTGACTTTAAAGGCACAATTTAGTTTTTTCAAATTCTAAAATATTCCAAATGATTCAGTTCAATTCTAACTTGAGCAAACGTAAGAAATTATCAATGCTACGCTTATTAGACAAGACACATTTATGCAATTTAATTTACAGATTTTTTAAGTAGATAAATATATATTTTTTTTTTCGTTCAATTATAATTTGATTGACAAAAACAAGTTTCATGTCAGCTTTATATAATCAATAATAAAATGCAAGCCAGCACACATGCCGCCGTAATAACACAAAATGTTTATAAATAATTAAATAAATTCTATATAAAAAGGAGAAATGAATATGTATGAATGAAACGATTCATAGATAGAATGAAAAAAAAGAGTAAAAATCACTTACAATAAAAGGCCATAGAAGTTGTCGTTAATTTAAATTCTATTGATTGATCAATTTTTATTAAAATGTTTTCCATAAACGTTGAGAAACACTTAAAAGGCGGAACAGACACGAGTGGTCTAGGTTTTTAAAGATTAATTGAAAAGAATTTAGATTTGACACTTAGAAGAATCACAGCATACACTTGTTGCAACACTTCAAGACACTTAAGTTTCAGAATGATTTTAAAATATTTTTTTTTTTAAACAACTAGAGTTAAATATTTTACAACACTTGAAGTTAAATTTTTATAAAATAATAATTTTTTTTTTAATTAATGAATAAATTCTCTCGTTAATATGTTCCGCAGTAAATTTATAAATAAACTACTTAAAAGCGGGAAATTGTATTGTTTATATTGTAATTTTTGTTTTCATTTCACAATCATTCCCTTCACATTACTCTCTTGTTTACTAGTACCCAACACAGATGACACATTGACTGACGAACGTTTTGAAAAAAAAAAACACAAATTATAAAGAAGAGATTCAGATCTTTTGTCGGTAAAAAAATATAATTTTAATTGCGCAAGCGTTAACTTTTATACGAGTTTTTTTGTTTTGTTGTTATTTTATTAATTTTATTTTTTTTTATTATAACTCGATTTATACATGTCTCAGTTATTGTTTTTGTTTTTCTTTTGTTTACTTTTTATTAATTTTTTTTTTACTCTTCAAACTCACACTTTAACATTCTCAACATCAGTTTTATTAAATTTTGTCTGATAAGAAGTCAAAAGGCTAGAAATATAACACCACCACCATCACTCACCACTTGTTTAGTAGATGTGATGATGATGGTTCTTTTTTTTCCATTTCCAAGATAAGATTTATTTGTGTTTATTGACCATAATTGGTTAAAAAACATTGAAAAAAACGTGTGTCGAAATAAATAATTAAACCAGAGAGTGTCAGCAAAACATTTTTTTTCGGATTCAGAATTAAACATTTTTATTTTTAGTGACAATTTCAATTTGTAGTGAAACATTAAATTTTAGTCCATCTTTTAGTGAAATTTTAAATTCTAGTGAAATTTTGTTTTTTTAGTAAAATTTTGAACTTTTAGTGAAATTTTAAATTTTTTGTAAAATTTTTAAGTTTTAGTGAAATTTTAAATATTTGGTGAAATTTAAAATTTTTAGTGAAATTTAAAATTTTTAGTGAAATTTAGAATTTTTAATGAAATTTTGAATTTTTAGTAAAATTTTTATTTCTAGAGAAATTTGAAATTTTTAATAAAGAAGAAACTTTTCCAAAAAATTTTTTTTCTGAAAAAAACTTTTCTATAGAAACTTTTATAAAGAAAACGTTTCTATTAAAACTTTTATAAAAAAACTTTTCTTAAGAAAACTTTCTGAAGAAACTTCTCAAAAGAAGAAACTTAAAAAAGTTTCTAAAGAAAACTTTTTGAAGAAACTTTTCTAAAGAAAACTTTCTGAAGAAAATTTTCTAATGAACATTTTCTGAAGAACTTTTTTAAAGAAAACTTTCTAAAGAAACTTTTCTGAAGAAACTTTTCTAAAGGAAAATTTCTGAAGAAAACAACTTTCCGAAGTCACTTTTCAAAAGAAAACTTTTTAAAGAAAACTTTACAATGAAATTTTTCTAAAGAAAACTTTCTGAAGAAACTTTAAAAAAAACTTTCTGAAGAAACTTTTTCAAAGAAAACTTTCCTAAGAAACTTTTCTATAGAAAACTTTTCTGAAGGAAATTTTCTAAAAAAAAATCTTAGGAAACTTTTCTAAAGAAAAAAAGAAAACTTTTCTTATGAAAACTTTCTGAAGAAACTTTTCTAAAGAAAACATTCTGAAGAAACTTTTCTAAAGAAAACATTCTGAAAAAACTTTTTTAAGGAGAAATTCTGAAGAAACTTTTTAAAAAAAGCTTTTCTGAATAAATCATAAAGAGAATTTTCTAAAGAAAACATACTCAAGAAGAAGAATAATTAAGGAAAATTCTCTAAAAAATAAACTTTTTAAAGAAGAAGACTTTATAAAGAATATTTTCTAAATAAAACTGTATGAAGAAACTTTTCTAAATAAACTTTCTCAAGAAGAAAGAAAACTTTTTCAAAAGAGAACTTTCTGAAGAAGCTTTTTCAAAGAAATCTTCCTGCGAATTGTTTTTAAAGAAAATTCTCTAAAGAAAACATTCTAAAGAAATCTTTCTAAAGAAAACATATCCAAGAAGAATGAACTTCCAGAAGAAACTTTTCTTCTTTTCTAAAGAAAAAATTTTCAAGAAGAATGAACTTCTTTCAGAAGAAACTTTTCTATAGAAATCATTTTCTAGAAGAAACTTTCCTATAGAAATTTTTTTCTATAAAAAACTTTCGTATAGAAATCTTTCTCTATAAAAAAGTTTTCTATAGAAATTTTTCTCTAGAAGAAACTTTTCTATAGATATATTTCTTTTGTATAGAAATCTTTCCCTAGAAGAAACTTTTCTATAGAAATCTTTCCCTAGAAGAAACTTTTCTATAGAAATCTATCTCTAGAAGAATCTTTTCTATAGAAATTATTCTCTAGAAGAAACTTTTCTATAGAAATCTTTCCCTAGAAGAAACTTTTCTATAGAAATCTTTCTCTAGAAGATACTTTTCTATAGAAATCTATCTCTAGAAGAAACATTCCTATGGAAATCTTTCTCTAGAAGAAACTTTTCTATAGAATCGTTTTTGTAGAAAATTTTCTCTAAAAGAACCATTTTTATAGTAAACTTTAATAGAATGTTTTTTGTTATAGAAAACACTGTAATTTCTATAGAAAAATGTCAAAAAAATTGTTTTTAAAAAATAGCCTTTTTGAAAACTTACCACCATTCCCTCATAGCTTCCACATCAGGCGAGGAATTTGTTCCTCCAGGACCCGGAGCCGAAGAGGCATTGCCACCAGCATTTATGCGATTAACACTTAAATGATCTTTTGCCGCAACAGCAGCAGCATTTGTTGTAGAAGGTGTACACTGTAAAGCAGCTGTGGCTGTAACACCAACAACACCAGTGGGGGTGGAATGGGTGGCAGTAAAAGTTTTGTTGTTATTGCTGCTGCTGCTGCCGGCGCTACTACTGCTGCTGCTAAACAAACCATTTATTTGTGATTTGGACATGTTTGTTGTTTTTGTATTAATTCTTTAACACTCTTTATTGATTGTAGCGAATGATAAATTATTTAATAAAATTTTTCTACAATATGATATAAACAAATAAAAGGCGTAAAAAAGTTTGACGTAGATAACCACCAGAGATACTAGTGAAACAACTTGTTTTTTAATTATTAAATAATTTTGTTTAACTTCTTTTGTGTGTTACTTGTTGTTGGCTTGGAATGCTAATGGTTTTTGAAACAAAATTTATTAAAATGTTCAATTTCTTAGTGGGTTATTTGGTAATACAATAAAAAAGCACAACTTGACCAATTTAATGCACCTCACTAATCACACACACACACATACACACTCTCCAAGAAACAATTTTGTTTTATTATTTATTTGTTTCTCTTTAGTGTTCTCTTTAGTTTTTACTACTTCTACACGGCAGCACTTGTCAAAAAGACCAAAAAAAAAACTCTTTTGTTGTGTTAATTGGAAAAAAATTTCACTTTTTCTATTAAATTTTGTGCTAGTAGTTTTAACTTTGGAAATATTTTTATTATTAAATATTTCAGTTTTTTTTATAATTTATTGCATTTACCACTAATGCAAAGTAGTTAAACTTTTAGTTTATTGTTTAATTTTTATAATAATTATTATTTTTTTAATAAAAATTCCTCAACTAGTTTCTTTTTTCTTACTTTAATACGCGAGGATAGGAAAAAATAACAAAAAGACACAAAAATACAACACCAACTAAATGTGAGAGAGACAAAATAATGAATGTGTATCAGCTGTCTGTCAGAGGGATGCCATATAGAATTTTTAAATGTCATAATAACAGAGGCGATTTAACATAGAAAGTTATAATAAAAACGCTTGAAACACAGTTTTATATGAAAATGTTCAAAAATCAGTTAATTTGAATGAAATAATATCAGAAATGGCATGAAAATAACAAAATTTATATGATAATACTTTTAGCTTTCCACTTAGTTATATAATTAAAAGATTTTATTAGAAAATGACATAAGAGTAAGTAGTAATACTACTAAAATTTTACATTTTTCTAAAAGATAACAGTCTCAAGTCGAACTTTAATGAGAAACCAAGATTATTTTATTCCTTAGAAAAGTTAATAAATAGTATTATTAAAACTTACTAAAGATGAATTTTTTTTAGAAAACGTTCTCAGGAAGTAATTGTTCTATAGAAAATTGACTTAAGGTAGTAGTATCAAGTGTCGAAAAGATCTATGATATAGAAAACATTTTCACGTATAAACCTTTTAAGGGAAAACATTATAAAAAAATTTTTCTATAAAAAACTTTCCCTAGAGAAGAAATTTCTTAATAAAAATGATCTAAGAGAAAACTTTACTATAGAAAAATTCATAAAAAGAAAATTTCCTGTAGAAAAGAAACATATCTATAGAAAACTCCAAACAACTTTCAGAATAAACTCTTCGTAAGAAATCTTTCTCTGAAGAAACTTTTCTAAAGAAAACTTAGAAGAAACCTTTCTATAGAACACATATCTTCTAATGAAAACAAAATGAAATATTCTAAAGCAATTTTCAAAAATTAATAAATGGACAACTTTCTCTAGAAAGTGTGACAAAAAATTGCTTCTATAGAATATTCTCTCAAGAATAAACTTATGTAATGAAAACGGTCTTAAAGATATCATTCTTATAGCAAACTATCTGAGCAAATCGATTTCCTGTTTAAAACTCACGAAGATGCTATATAGTAAACAACAAGAACTTTTTATTTTAGGAAACTGTCTTAAGAAATAGTTTTCAAAAGAAAATACTCTCGAGAAGTCAGTTGTCTAATAAAACTGTTTCTAAATACGCTTCTCTATCAAAATTGTCACAAATATAAATTTAAATTTAAAAACAAATGATTAAAATAAATAAATAAAATTTCCAACGTCTATAAACATGGTATTTGTTGAATATGGTAGCTCTACTGTTAATTTTTCTCGCAATAACAGTATTGCTGTGTTGAGTAAGCAAAAGGTAAACAAACTGTTAAAAACAGTAATGCCAGACAAAAATGTGAAACAAATGTTGCCATATACATTAATGGAGTGATAAAACCGTTGAAATGTTCACAGTTAAATTAAATTAAAAGTTTTAACTAAGTTTTTAGGGAATTTATAGTAAAATTATGAATTTTAATTAAAAAATATAAATTAATTGTTTTTGTTTCTTTATTACTAAGTTAAAAGCATGGTTGTAATAATACTCCGCTATGACGAAATTTTTTGAATATTATTTGTTTTTGTATAAGTTTTTGTCTGAGCATTTTGGTTTTTTCCTCTCTCTTTCTTTTGTTTATATGCAGATGTTTGTAAATTTTTGGCATTTTTCATTCATAAAAAAACCACCAACGTATGTATGCAGTAAATTCGTACATATGTATGTATGTACATTTGTACGTATGTATACAGTAATGTGTACATAATTATTTTAAAATTTCCCACAGGAAACTCTTTGATAAATTAACATAAAAAAATAAATTAACTAAAAATAACCACAACAAAGCTAAAAATAACTTTAAATAAAATACAAAAAATATAATATTGTTTCGACACCTTTCACGTGTATTGAAAATGAAAATAAAACATTATATATGATATCTTTTAAAATTTCAAAATTTTATTGTTTTCAAAAGAAAAAAAATATTTGTTTTCAATTACAAAATCCCTTAAAGTATAAACTTACCTAAATTGATTTCGTTTGTCAATTAAATCCTGCACACGAGTTCGTCTTAGTGGTGCTGGTGAGGTTCCAGGTGAAGAAGATTGTTCTTGACTTTCGGCCACTAAAGAACGTGCCATGGCTAAATCTTCTTCTTTCATGTTATTGTGAATTATTTATGGCAAATTTTAAGTTTATAAAATAGATATTTTTCAATAAAAATGTTTTAATTATTTTATGTAATAAAGTTATTTAAATTTTATAGTTTTAGCAACATATTTTTTTAAGAAAATCTAAATAAAATTTAGTACAAACAACAATTTTTTAATAATTAATATTTAATATATTAATTTGTTTAATATTTGTAATGAGTTTAAAAACACTTTATTTTTAAAAATTTTTGTGTATTTTTAAAAGAATTTTATTTAAATTTAATTTTTTATGTTTACTTCAATAATTTTTACACAATATTTACTATTTTCTTAATTTTTTATTCTTTATTTATTTTTAAAATCTTTATTGTTATCTTCTTAAAATTTCTTTATTTCCAAATATTTTATTACAAATTTCTATTTAATTCTCAAAAATGATTATTTTTATTTGTGTAATTTTCAGTTTTTAATTAAAATTATTTTCTATTTCATTAATTTATTTAATTTTTCTTTGTTGTAATTTATTATTATTATTTACACTAAATGAAACACAACTGTTCGTGTTAAAAGTCAAAATTCAACTGATGCGTTCAAATGCATGAACAAATATCTAAACAAAATATATTCTGAATATCAAAAAATGCTAAATAAAAACAACAATTCAAATTTTATATGAGAGATCTAAACGAATTGGTTAAACCCTACCTTAATATTTAGATAAATTTAATCTATAGTCTAGTCTATAGTCTAGTCTATAGTCTAGTCTATAGTCTAGTCTATAGTCTAGTCTATAGTCTAGTCTATAGTCTAGTCTATAGTCTAGTCTATAGTCTAGTCTATAGTCTAGTCTATAGTCTAGTCTATAGTCTAGTCTATAGTCTAGTCTATAGTCTAGTCTATAGCCTAGTCTATAGCCTAGTCTATAGTCTAGTCTATAGTCTAGTCTATAGTCTAGTCTATAGTCTAGTCTATAGTCTAGTCTATAGTCTAGTCTAGAGTCTAGTCTATAGTCTAGTCTATAGTCTAGTCTATAGTCTAGTCTATAGTCTAGTCTATAGTCTAGTCTATAGTCTAGTCTATAGTCTAGTCTATAGTCTAGTCTATAGTCTAGTCTATAGTCTAGTCTATAGTCTAGTCTATAGTCTAGTCTATAGTCTAGTCTATAGTCTAGGTCTATAGTCTAGTCTATAGTCTAGTCATCATAGTCTAGTCTATAGTCTAGTCTATAGTCTAGTCTTATAGTCTAGTCTAGTAGTCTAGTCTAGTCTATAGTCTAGTCTATAGTCTAGTCTATAGTCTAGTCTATAGTCTAGTCATAGCTAGTCTATAGTCTAGTCTATAGTCTCAGTCTATAGTCTAGTCTATATCGTCTAGTCTATATAGTCTAGTCTATAGTCTAGTCTATAGTCTAGTCTATAGTCTAGTCTATAGTCTAGTCTATAGTCTAGTCTATAGTCTAGTCTATAGTCTAGTCTATAGTCTAGTCTATAGTCTAGTCTATATAGTCTAGGTCTATAGCTAGTCTATAGTCTAGTCTATCTAGTCTAGTTCTATAGTCTAGTATATAGTCTAGTCTATAGTCTAGTAGTCTATAGTCTAGTCTATAGTCTGGTCTATAGTCTAGTCTAGTCTAGCTATAGTCTAGTCTATAGTCTCGTCTATAGTCTAGTCTTTAGTCTAGTACTATAGTCTAGTCTATAGTCTAGTCTATAGTCTAGTCTATAGTCTAGTCTATAGTATAGTCTATAGTCTAGTCTATAGTCTAGTCTATAGTCTAGTCTATAGTCTAGTCTAGTCTATAGTCTAGACTGGTCTATTGTCTAATCTATGGTCTAGTATATATTCTGGACTCTGATCTGGAGTCTATAATTTGGATTCTAGTCTTGACTATAGTCTATCTATGATATAGTGTTACATTCTGGTCTATAGTCTAGTCCGTAGTCTGTTTTATAATCTATACAGCAGACGGGACTATAGGGTAATCAAAATATAAATTTTAAATAAAAATCTATGAACAAAACAACAAAATATATTGAGATGAATAAAAGACACATACAAAACCTCATTGTAGAATAACTGAAAAATCACAAAAAGTCTAAAACTAACAACAACAACATTATAAATGAATAAAATCTCATATATAGTCATATACACATCCATCCATATACTATATACGATTCTATAGAGTAAAATTGTTCGTTCATATGAGCATACACTTAACGCTGCTAAATGTAGACAATTGTTGATGAAAAAAGTAAAAAAAATTTAATTTTTATTTGAAACTGAAAGTATGAAAAATTCAATATGAAACAACATTGAAACAAAAATAAAATAATTAGCATTTTTTGAGTATTTCGAGTTCGATTTCCAATAAATTTTCTCAGTTAAGTGAGTAGTAAGAAAATGAAAAAAATTCAAATTAATGTTTCAACTACTATTATTTCTGATCAGAAAGATGTTGGGATAGTACTCTCCTTAGAAAACTGAAAAAAATCACAAAAATTTACATTTAACCTATACGATGATGTACAGCAAGTATAAAACATTTTTATTTTATAAATGTAATTTATACGGGTTTCAAACAGTTTTGAAAAGTGAAAAGTTGTCTTTTTAATGAATTTATGATCTTATGTAGCCATGGTAAATTTTTTGGCGTCTTGGGTCTTAATTTCAGCTTAAGATGAAACAATAATCGATTTACTTTCAATAGCTTTGTGAGTAACATCACTCACATCCATTAGATCTATTGTCTTAAACTTGCATATTGTTTATATTTTGCCAACAACAAGTGTTTTTAGTTTTTGTTTATAATTTTCTTAGAATTTATTAATAATTTATAACAAATTTTTTCTTTATAAATATGTGTGCAAACAAGCAAATATTTAATTGAATTAAACAG